TACTGTCTACAAAATTTCTCGAACATTCAGTCCGGTAAATGTAATTAATACTGTTTAATCAAAAAGCAGAGCCTTTACATAAATAAATAATCTCTATAAAAATAACGTATAAACAAAAAATATATTAAATATTTGTCTGATTCAATCCACTTCATAATATATAGATAGATAGATAGATAGATAGAGAGAGAGAGAGAGAGAGAGAGAGAGAGAGCGAGTTACGGGGGAAAGACAATGAGAACTATATATATATATATATATATATATATATATATATATATATATAGGTACCTCTACGAAATCGCTAAAACATTAGCATACTGTGATAAAAAGCATGCTCCAAACGTAATGAAAACAGTTTATCGTCAAAATCTTCATGTTATTATTAATAATAACATGAAGTATTTTTAAATATTTTTTTATTCCCTATCAGAACATTGAAATGTTGATTAAAAAAATAGTTTTTCTTGCTTCAGCGATTGTACTAACAAATTTTAGCGTCTTTTTTGCAGTGACAGACACATTAAATTGGAAATTCTTGCAAAAATCAAATAATTTTTGGGTTTTAATGAAATTAACTTTTTTAACTGAGAATTAACTTTTGTTTACAAGTATATCAAAATGGCCGATTCCATTGATTTTGCTAAAAAAAATCGATACCGATCAATATAATTCCTGTTTGGAATACACCACAGAGTATTTTGCTTAATGGAAATAGTAAATTTTAAATCCTTTAGCTTTCAATTAAAGTTAAATTCAAAGCTTCAAAAAGCTTATTCATTTTTAAAAATTCATTTTAAACCTTACGTGTATCCCGAATTGGTGGAGGTATCTATCTATCTATCTATTTATATATATATATATATATATATATATATATATATATATATATATATATATATATATATAAGGTTCAAACACTAATATTCCATGGTTATAATTTATTACATTGGAATCGTAATCACGATCCAATGAATTTGTAGGTCTGATGAATTGGATCGTGATTACGATTCCAATGTAATAAATTATAACCATGGAATATTAGTGTTTGAGTCTTTTATAATATATTCCTACTCTGTCCTGGACATTGAGTTCTACTTGGATTCTATCCTCTTGTGAATTTATATATATATATATATATATATATATATATATATATATATATATATATATATATAGACATAGATAGATAATATTAGTGGTGAATATATATATACATATATATATATATATATATATATATATATATATATATATATATATATATATATATATATATATATATATATATATATATATATATATATATATATATATATATATATATTCACCACTAATATATATATATATATATATATATATATATATATATATATATATATATATATATATATATATATATTCACCACTAATATTATCTATCTATGTCTATATATATATATATACATACATATATATATATATATACATATATATATATACATACATACATACATATATATATATATATATACACACATATATATACACATATATATATATATATATATATATATATATATATATATATATGTCTGTGTGTATCCCTTCTGAAGACAAATGAATGGTACTATAAATGAAAACCTTTATTAAAATTATCTTAATCTGGCACAAGGCTACTGTAATGAAGCAGATATTACGTATCAAATTCATTACAAAGTACCCCTGTCTTCGTTAGTCATCGTGCAGTATATAACGGACCGTTTTATCTATCAGGCAGATGGATAGATAGATTTCGTTTGCATAAAAATTGGTTGAAGATGTAAGTACTGGAAATATATCCCATGTGGTTCAGTGCAATTTTTATCTTGTTCTTCAGTCGTCATGTGACTTTAACAAATAGTCATTGACTTGTTTTGTCTGTAGGCGAAGCGAAGTATGATATCAGAGAGAAGACAAAAAAAAGATCGTATTTATAACGAGCAGAAATGTTTCTTCCGCCGGAAGAAGCAAGCAAAACCCTTTGTACAGGAATGCAAAATAGAAACCTTAATCTGCCATGAAATGTTGTCGGGATTATTCAAATAACAAGAGTTGGTTGTTGCGCTAAGAACCTAAAGTTTGTTGAATATTCTTAAGCTAGTGTTTGTTGCTTACTAAGTTTAGCTTTGTTTGGCAAAAGACAACTAGTTTGGAGCACCTAGCAGGAGTTTCAATGTTGTAATTTGCAAGTGCTATAGTATTGGTCACATCAAATTAAATTATATATGATTACGGTTATTGTACGAGTTATGATCAAAAAGTATCGGGACTAGTGCTTTTAAAAGGAAACTACGACCTATATCAATTCGGCATTTAATTCCCTTCGAAGTAGTCCCCTTCTGAAGCCGCACACTTTATCAGCGTCTTTTCCATTGACGGAAGCATTCCTGAATTTTTTTTTTTTTTTTTTTTTTTTTTAATAGCGAACAGATACCACGTCGCATTCATATGGATTTCCTCGACATCTTGAAATTTTGTTCTTTTCGAGTAGGATTTGATTTTTCAAGAGGAAAAGTCCCACGGGCTGAGATCTGGGATATATGATGGTTGTCCAACCCGGGGAATGTGTGCACGGGCAAAAACTGCTGCATAAGACGGTGAGACGGCCACACTCTACACACTTTCCTTCCTAACACTGCTATAAACAACGGAAGGGAGCGAGGGCGTTATAACTTCAGGTATGTATGCGCGACAGTGTTCAAGCGGTTTCAATCTGCGTACTTTATCTCCATTATCATAGCAACAGTCCCGATACATTTTGATCAAACCTCGTATTTGCGCCTGTCGAATGGATATACAATAAATTAATAGATTTTTTTCAGTATTAATTTCTTAAATGTTTTAACAAATAATTTAACAAGATAAATAATATCTTATTTTAAAATCCATTTAATTTAAGAATTAGTTTTCATTGGTTCATTGAGAGATTTGTTTCTTAATCAATCCTTTTGCTGGTTATTTAAAGCCAGAAAATATTTTTAGAGTAATAACTTTTGTAAGAATAATGTTTTATACTAATACATGTTCTACTAATTAACCCATAGCAGCTTAGAGAAACAAAAGATATGATATATTGATTCGTTTTTACTGCTTAACAACCATTTGCAGGTTATTTAAAGCCAGAATGTATTTTTAGATTGGAAGAATTTTTTTTTTGAGATAATAATGATCTTGTGTTACAAGTCTTCAAAAATAAAAGAAAATGGGGGGGGGATAAGAAGTATATTCATATCTTTTCTAAGAGGATTTGCGCGTAAGTGAATATAACGAACCAGACTAGAATTGGAACACGGCTCTCCGATTTCCAATTTCGAGCCGTGTCCCCAAGAGGTCACCAATATAGGTACCGGCCAGGCTCGACGTTGCTTAACTTCGGTGATCACATGAGAACCGGTGTTTCAACGTCATATGACCGTAAGCCTGAATGTGTTTTGAATATGCTGTTGAGCAGCAGTGTATTTACATATAAGATGTAGATCCATATCATATCCCATTTCCAGAGGAGATTACAAACGGCTGCCATTGCTATCGGCTATCCTGTGTCTACAAATATCCACCAATTGAATAAATATTGACACCCGACAGCGCTTCTCGGCCAACAATCCTATTCCACCAATCTTCATATCATCTTGTTCTTTTCAATATGAATCAACGCCGCCATAGCTACAAGCGAGAGCGATAGTCGAGGTGACTGGTGTCGGCAGGGACCTGGCTCAGCAGCACAGGTGTATTGGGGTTAACTGCACGAAGCGTTGATCCCGCGCCGAGGACGGAAACAGGCTGTGCTGTAACTGACCAATCCTCCGGCGACGTTGTCCTCCTTGTTAGCCGTTGCTGCAAGAAATCGTAGCCTTCGAGGGAAACCTTTCTGTCAAGGTGAACAAGGTGACCGTGAGACAATATGAAACGTAGGCGAAAATGTTATTGGCGTGTGTGTGGACACAAGTGTTATCCTCTATAAAAACGAATGTATAAACGAAAGAAAAAAAATAATATAAAGAACAAATATAGATAATAACGTAAACAAGAATCACCGCCATATTAAAAAAAAATGAAGAAAAAAACACCACAGAAATACACTGTTCGCCCATTCAACATACTGTTAGTTGAATGCGAATGTCCCCGCTAATCTATCGATACTTCCATGAGAAATGTTCTGACTGGCTAGATTCAGTCGTTCCACCTGTTCAGTTTACAACTATGCCGCTTACACAGGGGCGAATCGTCCACATTCCCTAGATTCAGTCGTTCCACCTGTTCAGTTTACAACTATGCCGCTTACACAGGGGCGAATCGTCCACATTCCCTAGATTCAGTCGTTCCACCTGTTCAGTTTACAACTATGCCGCTTACACAGGGGCGAATCGTCCACATTCTCTTTGTAGTCCGTTAATATGAAAGAAGTTCCATTCGGATAACTTCTTCCCAAGAGCCGTTGCTTTGTGGAAAAAACTCCCGAGGGGATGCTTCCTCGATCACTACAATCTTAACCTCTTCAAGTTTAGGGTCAGCCATTGCCTATTCTACATATTCTAATAATCATCACTTTTTGCAACCTCCTTTTACGTCCATAAAACAACCTCATTCACTAATCTTCTAACTCGAGTGGCTATCGCGCCTGGTATGATGTGAACAATAGTGTAAAAATAAACATGTTTTGAATCCACAAGCATTCAATTAAAAGAAAAACAACGCTGGAAACTTTTGCACACACAACTCATAAGTTCCTTAATAAATTCCTATAAAGATGCAGTTATCAACAGGCGGGCTCATTTATTTTTCTAATATAAAAATTGTATAAATGGGCATGAGAACAGTGACTGGGATAGATAGATTTCTTAGAGATGCGAAGAATAGGAAATTGTGGAGCGCCATGATCGCCCAAACCCTCAAGAGACACGGTACACAAGAGAAGGAGATTATAAAAATAACTATAAACTTTGTCTTTTATATGGTCCCAATAAAGGGTCACTACAGGACATAGACGCAAAAAACGAGGAAAAATTTATAAGTATTTACTAAGTTCACATTTGCCTGGCAAAAGACCAATAGTTTAGGGAAAACACTAAGTATTTAACTAACTATATAGTAGTAACGGTCAACTACATTACCTCGTATATCATCTCATCAAGGACGAGGTACCCCAAATACAAGCAGTATGTTCATGAACAAAAGCAGTAATGGCGAGAATTATTTACGTACGAACTTAAGCTGTTTCCTTCCATAGACACGGTGACATCTGAACAGAAGAAACTTATGCCGAGATTATCAGCGTTTCTTTTTTTTTTTTTTGTTCTGTTTTTGTTTTTTTTTATCCACTTTCTGTGTCAGCCATTTGTAAATCCTCGTGATTTCAGTTAATAATATCTGATCACTTTAACAGTGCCACTCTCAGACTTATTTAGAGGAAAGGAGGTTTCATTGCCCAAAATAGACGAGGATAACGCATGGCAGACAACACATTCAAAGCAGTCATGTGTCCACTCCTTATGGATGACTTGCCGTTGCCTATTTAATTATCGCAACAAAAGAACCCTTTTTTATGAATTTAAATTTGACAACTGAAATAAAAAATTGAACTGGACTCCTTACGCATATATGCTCCCAGTTTTTGAATTGATGAATACCTTGAGTACTTTTTCGAGACCTTGAAAATGTTGGAACCAAGTAAATGGCAGATGCGGACAATTCTGAAGAATACATCATCTGTGAAAAACCTTATGAATACAGCTTCTTGTTTATTTGTATGCATCGCATTTGCAGCCTGATCTTTGTAATTCACAATAACCAGTTGACTTCTTTTTCCAAACAAAATCTTTCTTTTTTATTCTCCCAGTACTCACATCGTTCGGACAAGGTCTCTATTGAAAAGCTCCTCAAATGCATTTGTTTTCGAGTTTTGAGTTCATAATTTACCATTTACCCCTCAGTTTACCCCTCAGTTTACCCCTCAGTTTACCCCTCAGTTTACCCCTCGGTTTTGTGGGGGAAAACGAAATAAGTCCAATAAATAAAATAATAATAACAAATAAAAAAAATAATTTTCACATTATGCAAGATATAAAGAAACCGGAAAGGACTTCTGGTCACATCACCTCATTTCTGAAAAAGAAAAAAATCTTTCTCTTTCTCTTCTTGACTTCAAGATGCGCGCCACGCAGTAATAGTGTTCCCACTGGGGAACGTTAGTCTTTAAGTAGAGGTTCGGCCATCCCAAATCAGCGCAAAACTGACATGAGCTTAACTAGCCTCACCCGTTCGTCTCCTTATTTCACATAAATTGTTACAGAACCAAAACAAAGAAAACGGCGATACTCGAGCGTCATTTCTAACCTTGTTTCAATCCAGTCAACAAAAGAAAAAAAGAATAAATGTCCAGAGCAGTTTTTTGTATGCTTCTTCTACATTCTATTTGTTCATATATTGAGCACGTTTACCTAAAAATTAGATTCAAAATCCACAAGCTGGTTAAAATCTACACTTTCACTTATTTCTAAATAAATAAATTGTCTTACAGAGATAGTTGATTTTATATTTACAACGAAATAAAGTTACAGATTTATTGATATCAAACCGTAAACGTATATAACTACAAACATCTAAATAAATAAACGGCGAATTCTGTCTATCAGTTCGTGTGTCTGAAACCTCACTAGATCGGGCCACAATTGCTCTACATAAACATCTTATACCTTTTTTGAATCAGTATGATCCTGGGATCGAAAATTTGCCCTTCATCTAGTATTTGAATATTCAGCAGTTGTGTCCTTATGAGAAGGGAACAGTTAAAAATTCAAATTTTAAAATAACTGAAAAAAATAGATTTAAAATGTTTTTTTTTAATTTATATTGATTTTAAAGTAGCGCAAACATTTGTGAATTTAATTTTTTTTTTGTTTTAAATCCAGTTTAAAATATCTCCAAGACATTGTAAATTGAGGAAATAAATTTTATTTCTTCAAAATACCAAGGAATCAGAGTTGTTGATAGGTTTTGTGATGTTTTGAAGTTCTGCAGAGTTTATGATTTGAAGAACTCAACTCAATTGAAGACTCACAGAGTTTTTGATTTAAATAACTCAATCTTTGGCTTGAATTGGAATGTCGGCCCAAATCAAACTTTCGACCCAAATCAAACTTCTGGCTGGAATAAAAATTCTAGCCCAAATTGAAGTTCCATGGAGTGAATTGAGGAATTCAAAGTTATTTCGTCAAAAGAGTCATTGTTCTCTTTAGTTTTGGGCCTTCGACCCAATAACACCTCCGCAGGACCTGCCTTAAAAGTCCGCACGGAGTCCGGCTTTTAAACTAACTAAAAATAAATGATTGTTCGAAAATCGAGTCAAAGATATGAAGATTCAGTACTCTCAGACTATCATAAATATCTGCCAACCACGACTAGCACGCAACCATTTTTACTTACAGAAAGTGTTTTTTTCTATTTTTTTTTTCCTCTGAGAACAATGTCCAATAAAATAATCTCATAATTTTGCCACTGTTCAATTTTAATTGTGTGTCCTCTCCTTTTGTTCTTTTAGTATAGACTAAGTTGTGCTTTCTAAATGTTTACAGTTACTTTCTCTTTCCATACTCGCAGAAAAATATACACGAGCTGATACATATATACGCGTAGAGAGATTTGGGCACACAGATAAACACATATATTTACTGATACGCAAACACACAGTGATACGCAGATACTCAAACACATGTAAATTACATCTTATATTAAAACTGACTTTTTTTTTTCAGGTACGTATTTCACCCTGTAAGAAGCATGCGTACTGCTCTTTAAAAATCTAACGACATTTACGTTACTGCACGTGGTCCTCTCAAACTTTCCTGATTCCAGCATAAACATTTGCCTATTTTATGGGGTTTTTGATAGCTGGCATCTTAGTGAAGTAACTGGTCCATTGTGCTGCATCCATTGTCTATACACAGATAGGAAAAATTAAATTTAAATACTTTATGTCTATAACTGGACCGACACCGATTCGAAAAAGCGCACATTTTAGAAACGGATATTCTACGAACTCAGCGAATAAGACATACATTTGAGTAATAATGAATGTGTGTGTATGTGTGCGTGCGTACAATTACTCAAGTTATGAAGGGACATGGTAGATATTCTTCCAAGACTAAATTCGGTCAGTTTTTTCTGAACGCGTCGCCATGGTGCGTGGGTGTTTACCAAGTGTACCTGATTGACTTTTAATACTGTAATTAATTCGATCATAACTATGTGCATCGCGTATGAGATCTTTTGCCAGACTAGGCCAAGATTAGCAAATACCTAGAGCACATCTCACAAACCACTTTATTAGTGGTTGGAGATCTAGCCTCTCACGTTTTTCTACCACAATGACCTTGAACCAGACTAAGCTATACTCAGCAAATACCTATCTACGTAGGTAAATATACATGAAAGGAAAAACAAATGTGAACAAAACAAACTACATAAGCAAAAACGCATATATATGTATATATATATATATATGTGTGTGTGTGTGTGTGTGTGTGTACTCAGCTGTACAATACATTCATTCTTGTGCATACAATCATATACATAAACAGTACTCACAATCATACTTACAACGTCACATACCCACAACTACAAACACACGCAAACGTAACCGTACACAGAAATAAATAAACACGCACAAAAGCAGAATCGGATACACACATCATACATCCCAAGCCATCCGTCTACTACCAACACCGTCTCCCATCCGGATCAGTCAATAGCACACAGTAATCGCGAATCATTTCGCGCCGCCATTGCTTTTGCTCCTCTTTGATGTTCATTTTCCTGCGCTGCCGCCATTCTTATAAATGGCCGCCGCTCGACAATGTTTCCCAATTGCGAGTTAAAGGTTAGAAATAGTCACTGCCAACTGCAAGCGAATCGGCAGCCAAATAAAGCTGCAAATAGGCGAAGAACGAGGCGCATCGCCAGCTTTACTCAGTCTCTCTGAGGCATCCTCGCTTATATAAATTACTGTTTAACAACGATTACTAAAGAACCTCCGAGGAAGTGGATATTGTTCAGACCGCGAATTTGTTAAGTGAGTATTGTTGAGCGAAAGAGC